AGGACACCAGCAGTCCCCGTCCATGGTGGGTTGGAGGGAAGGGAGGAGGAGGTAACAGCCACTGAGACACAAGAGAGTCAGGAGTTTCTGTCTCAATTGCAGATCCAGACACAGAATGTCCGCAGTAAAAATATAGAAAACAGAACTATAATAGAGAAAACAGACTAACTCAAAAGCTGATTATTTGAGATTAACAGTTATGGAATCTCTAGACAGAATGATCAAGACAGAAGAAGACAAATATTTTCTATCTGGAGTGAGAGGAGCCATCACTCCTGAGCTGCGGGGACAGAAAGGCACCAGGGGACATTATGAACAGCTTCGTGCCAATGCAGTCAGCAACTGAGATGAGACAGCAACACTTCTAGGAAGACAAAAACTTCCAAAGCCTGCCCAGGAAGAAAGAGATAACACCAACAGCCTCATATCTGTTAAAGGAACTCAGTTTATCCCCAAACATCCTTGCAAGGAAAACTCCAGACCCTGTTTGCATCACTGGAAAATCTAGCCAATCATTTAAGGAAGAAATACCACCAGTTCTGTACAAAAATCCTTCCAATGAGGTGGAAGACAATACCACGCTTAACAAATTCTGTGAAGTCAGCATTTCTTGGATGCCGAACCAGACATACAAAATACAAGGGAAAAAAAATAACTGCAGGCCCACACCCTCATAATAAAGATCCTCAACAATTTTTTTGCAAATTGAATCCAACTATAATCTTAAAGGATAATTCCTCATGACCAAGTGGGGCTTATACCGGGGATGCAAGGTCTGTTTAGCATTTTAATATCAATTAAGATAATATATTAATGAATAGAAAAAGATAATATGACCAACTCAATAGATGCAAAAGCATTTAACAAATTAAAGTACTCATTGCAAGTTTTAAAATGAAACAACTCACCAAAACAAACCCAGATAAAAGGAAACTGTTGATCTGATAAGAAAGGTCTAAGGAAAGCTTACAGCTGACATTATACTTAATAACCAGAGACTCAGTGTTTTCACACAGAGTCAGGACCAACATGAGGGTATCCACCACATCTGCCATGCCCTGCAGGCTGCTCAGCAACACAGAAGTGAAAAGAACACATCTATGTAAAAAAATAAAGTTGAAGTGCCTGTATTTACAGATGGTGTGGTTACCTGTGTAACACTATTGAATCTACCCCAAAAGCATCAAAACCAATAAAAGGGCCAAGAGAAGCTGTATGATACAAGATAAATGTTTGAAGTCCAATGTTTAAACAACCAAAGATGGAAATTTAAAGCTATGCCATTTATAAAAGTATGGGAAATGTGAAATATTTAGAAATAAATTTTGCAACACATGTGTCAGTCTTGTGCCCTGAACACTGTGAAATGCTGTAGGGAGAATTTAAGATGACCTATGTAAGTGAAAGTTATGTCAAAAGAGGTAACATTGACAAAATATTCTTCTTCTCCAAGTCAATCTAGAGCTTCCTTGCAATTTTAGTTAAAAATCCCAGCAGGTAGTTTGTAGAAAATGGCAAGTTGATTCTAAAATTTGTGTAGAAATAGAAAAGAAATAGAATAACCAAACCTTGGTAGAAGAATGCTTTAGTATAAACACTGTCTAGTGCCTATTAGCAACCAAGAAGAATGGGCTTCAGTTGGCATATTAATACATATGTATAAGAGACTTTATTTTCACTCCCATAGCCTACTCTCTCTGGCATTCTTGTTATACATCTCCCGTTGGTAAGACAGTGTAGTATTCACTTTACAGAGATATGGAAAAATAAATGGAATAAAGTCGTTTGCAAACAGACCCCAATAAATGGTGACTTGGTCACCGATAAAGGTACAAAGGCAAGCCACTGAGTGGGTTTCAACAGGGTCAGAACAGTTGCACTTCCACTGCACAGACACCCGCAGCACCTGTACTAATGTGTGCCAATGTTGTCTCCACCGTGGTCACCTGCGGCGAGCAAAGCCTCCTTAACTCAATACAGACTGTGTTCCTGAATGTAAAACTCAAACCTATAGAACTTCTGGAAGAAAATATGTATGAACTTGGGTGGGGCAAATATGACACAAAAATCAGAATCCATCAAAGTGACAGTAATAAATTGTACTTCAAAATTCAGAATTCATCTCTGTGAAAGACAATGGAATGAAAAGACAAGCCAGAGACCAGCAGCAAGTATTCGCAAACCTCACATCCAATAAGGGATATGTATCCAAACTATGTAAAGAGTGCTTAAAACTCAGTAAATGACTCAACAATTAGAAAAGCAAATACTCCACGTTAAAAGAAACAAACTTTAGCTCTTCACGAGGGAAAATATTTGGATGACAACAGCACATTAAAACTCTTCAAAACCATTTGTTGTTAAGGAAATACAACTTGAAATGATGAGATGCACTTTACGTACACCTACTAGAGAGGCTAGAATTAAAATAAACTGCAGTAGCATGTATGATCAGCAACATACACGGGAGTGGGCAGCAACAGGAACCCCTGTTATTGCTGGTGGGAACATAAAACAGTGCATTTTGGAGGACACGTTGGTGGTTTCTTGAAGAGTGAGGCAAATATATACCAGACGATTCAGTTCCTTTGCTCCTGACATTTCTCTAAGAGAAATGAAAGCAGACTGTACACCGGAACGTGTACAGTGTTTACAACAGATTTGTAATGGAAACATGTGTACAGACACGCATTGACATACACATATGCAGTCACACAGGGGCTTGCACAGGTGAATGATGTACAAACAGTGACCTAGCCATACAAGGGACATTGTCTCACAAAAGGAAGACACTATCTGTACATGTGACACAAAGAAGTCTGGAAGTAAAAATGCTCAGGGAATGAGGCCAAACAAAAAAGGGCACATATGATCTGATCCATTTTCATAGAATTCTAGAAAATATAGAAATAATCAGTGGTGACAGAAAGCTGATCTGTGGCCTTGCCTAGGCATGGGGATTTGGGGAGAGTCAGGGACCCCTTCACGAAGGAATCACCAAAGGGCAGAGGGAGAGCTTTTTGTGCAATGGCCTGTTCTTTGACTTGACTATGACAGTTTCCCAGGTCCATGCCTATGTCGCAGATATGTCAAAATCTATCCTGTGTGTGCAGTTTAATGTTCTTACCACTATATTTTTTTCAAAGAAGAGGTTGAAAATACAGACAAAAACTAAACATGGCTGTGAGATGCTTTTGCCAACACCCCGTGCAGTGTCTTTTAAGATAACTTGCAGGTCCTTGACACATATGTTTTGGGTGTCAGAGGATGCAGGGTCTTCCTGCTGTGACTCGTGAACATGGCTCCAGCTCTCAGCTTGTGTGTCCCTGGAAGAAGTTGCCAGCTTCTCACCTCCTGCTCAGGTGACCTCAGCATCCAGACAAGCAAAGTGTTCCTCACCCAGGCCAATGGCTGTGCCATCAATCCCCAGCACCACGGCTCTGTCAGGGTGTACAGCAGTGCCACCGGCCCCATCCACACTATTTCTTACCCATTTCTATTCTGCCTTAGAGCACATTTCTGGTCACCAGGTTGCAAGTGTTGAAGTTTTGCATGACTGTAAATCTGAATGAGAAAGAGGATGCCCTTCCCTACACCAAAAGTCTACACACAGGAGGCATCACTGCGAGACATGAACTCAGCAGAAAGGAGAGCAGGGAAGATCAGAAGGGGATGAGGTCCCGCTGGGGCCATGCTGATGCCTGCTGCGCCAAAGCAGGGCCACACCCAAGTGCAGATGGCCCAGAGCATACAGGGACCAGAGTGGCTCAGGCTGGCTTGCATCAGATAACCAAGAACTGCACATGCTTGGAGACGTCTCTTCTCCAAAACCCCAACATGCACAGTGGTTGCACAGTCCTCACCCTGGTTTAAAACCTGAGATGATAGAGACCTGGCTCCTTCTGGGGCCTCCTGCTAAGTGATCCATTCACACCATCACACCACCCATACTTCTCCGCAGGAGGCAGCAGGGACATTCTGCATGTTTTCTTGAGGCCCCCCCCCCAGTTCCTGGTGGAGTGCCTGGGCACTAGTTCTGACACAGGCGCAGGCTGGCAGGCTGATGACTTATCTATTCAAATTTCATTCCCTCTGAAGAGCATTCCCAAGGACATTCATTTCTCTGAAATCAACATTTTCCTGCTTGCTAACTCCTCTCAGATCACAGCCTGAGGATTGCAGCTGCAGTGACATTCCTCTCTCCAAAGAGCACAGGGCCCAGCCCAGGGCAGGGGCAACGACAGCACACCCTCCCAGCACCACCCTGGGCAGGAGTGTCCGGGTGGCATGGAGTCCCTCCACGGCCTCTGGGATCCCCGAGGGCTGTGCTAGGTGTGTGTTTTGTGTTTTGCTGTTGACTTTGCAAAATCCTCCAAGCTGTGCAGAAGCCTTGGTCTCAGAGTCAGCGTTAAGTACCCACCCGTAGGGAGATCTCGGACAAAGCTGCAGGGGGAACAACAGGGCCTCACTCTCTGGGCCAAGAGGGCTGGGCTGAACCTCGGTTTGTGCTCTAAGTCCTGAGAAAATGTGCCCAAGCATGGAGAATCCCAGTTGAGGTCCGCGGGGAGGGGCGAGGCGGGGAG